TGTTTTGTGGACAGACCATGGGCTTGTTGACTGTACAGCATTATTAGTTACAGGAATGTAACGTAAATGGAGGAATGAAGGAATGAACTTAAATATGCAGATTCTTTCCTCTGCTGAGGAGAAAATTAATACTAACCTTCATAAACAAAAATTAATCCACTTTTTCAGAAGAGAACAAACCCAAGAATTATTCAGTATTTCTGCAACAAATTTGAGATTTTTACCTTAAATAATCTTGTGGAATGATATTGATAGTTGCTTCAGTTTTCACATCCAGTGGAACTGGCATCAGCATTACAAAGGGGGGATCGAAATTTAGTTTTGGTGACTTCATAGTGCCAGACAATGCTATTTTGTAATGTGATGGATTATCATTTAGACACACTGACATTTCAGATGCATATGTCCCAGGACAAGCTATTAAGAAGGTAAAAAAAAAAAAAACAACAACCCAAAATTATATTACCATAAATACATGCAGCTAAAATGAAGCATTATAGCAAGAACTTTAAGAAAAACTGAGCTACTCAAAATGTAGCTTAACATACAGTAACTTTGGTATCAAAAAAAACATTTATTAAGAAAGCTTATAATGCTTGTAGCAAATCAGAAATCTGTATTTTTTAATTTATCAGAAATTTTTCAAAGCTTGAGTTCTTCATTTACTGTATTCATATTCCTTTACATCTAACATCAATGTAGCGTTTCTCAGAATTTTAACAATGGCATTCATATTCTAAATTACACTAATTAACACAGACAATGCTAATTTTACAAATTAATAAATACCAGAAGCATCTGACTGCCAAGACAAGAAAAAGTTGTTGTCTTTTAAGAAGGTGATCACATTTAAACACATGACACTAAAACCTGTACTGTTGCCAAGTCAGTCTCACACTGGCCAGCGGGACAGTTTCTACCCTCCACTGAGAGCATCTCCCCTTTCCTTTGTTCTACCCCTTCTCACGCCATCTTGCTAACTGCTGCAAGGCAGTTTCCTGTAGGATTTTCTTTCACCGATACAGGAAGCAAGGTGCTTACCTCAGTAAGCATTATACTATTAAAATGGTGTTCCAAACCACGCAGTGCCATTTACCAAATTTTCAGTCATTCCCACCTGCTGAAGAGCTAGCAAACTAAACGATTTTGAGGGTCAACTAATGAACACCTCTTGTATTTAGAAACTTGCATGATGTGTTGTAAGACAACCCAAAAAGTTCAATCTTTTTCATTTTCAAGACAAACACCTTTCCCTTTGATTACCCTCTGTCAACAGATTAGTAAGTATGGAAACATCCTCACCTAATATTTAAGGAAAGAGATAGCAAAACAAATAATTTTGTATTTTATGTGCTGTATAAGCACATATGTATCACTGCAAACAAAATGCACGACAAGCTCGTCTGAGATTAGCTCAGATAATTATTTACACAGCCTGAGAAAGAGTTGCCATTGTTTACATACACAAGGAAGAAAACCTGGTGTCTTCAAAATATTTTGTCTTACTCTCTCCTCATAAGTGCCAATTTCTTCATGGAGATGATGATAGAGGGGCTTCACAGAAGCCTGTTAGCTCACTAGAACATGGCCTGCGGATCCCTTAATTTCAGACCAGAAAACATGAAACTGGCAAAATGAAAAACAGATGAAATGGGAGCTTGCTGCAGAGTTTCCAACATCTGACTAATTCCCTGTTAAATGGAAATCAACTTTAGGAGACAATACTGCCGAGACAGCTAAGAAGCTTGTGCTTCTAGGTTTTGATATAGCAAGAACACATCTTTTTCTGCTATTTAGCCCTTTTATGATGAGGAAAAGGTGAGGGAACATCAGAAAAGGTCATGGAGATATATGAAAAGCCAAATGGGGTATTTTTTACATACTTGCAAGAAAAGATGTTCTATACAAGTTACTCTCATATATGAGCTAGGCGGACTACGGTCCTACAGCTGTGCTCTAACTAAACCGTATTTCTGGTATTCTATCTTCACGCATATGTATGACATATGGTAGAGGAAAGGGACAGGCCATAACCAATAAACGCCGTAGGAAAGGAATGCCATGAAGCAAGAAAACTAGAGGGGCAGATGTCAGTAGCAAAGAATATGCAATTTTCACTAACTCACATTTTAAAATATTCTTACTAGCCATAGTTTCAAAGTCAAATCTTCACAAGTCAGGAAAGAGCAGTGTTAAGGTTTCTCACACAAACTTTTCATCCATACTGTGATGAAAGTGATGAAATATCCATCCATACATATCAATTATAACAAATCCATTAACTACAGGATTGCATCCATTTCCCATAGAATCCCTGACTCACCCAGACGGCAGAACAGACAGCGCTTACTCTGCATCACTGATCACTCCATTTACTCTGCACATTTACTTAACATCAAAATTTTACATAAATATGTAAGCTAATAATTTATTTCTTATGTCAGAAAAAAACACCAGGATGCTGCAATACTGTCCTCATTTTAAACAAACATAAAAGACAAAAAAAAGTGAATGATTACATTAAGTTTTGATCATTAGTTTGTAATGCCTAGAACAAATGTTTCAGGATATTTCATGTTAAATAAATTACTTTTCAATTAATGAGAATTATGTCCTGAACTAATTGCTGAAGTCATGAATTTATTCTATTAATCACATCTTTCATGACTACCATCAAAGCTTGTGCTGCTGTTACCGTTCTGATATACCACCATTAATTTCTACGGGGCAAACAACGAGCAGTCCAGCAGATGTGAAAACTGTCCTTCGGGAGATTTGATGGTATTTACAAATCTGCCAATCTAAATTTGCCAAGGGCTAACAAAATCTGTAGAATTATTTGGAAAATTTCCCCTTTGTCTTCTCTGAATATATTTATTAGTGGAAATAAGGATTCATTGCCTTACCTTAAAAAAAGCTTTTTAAAAAAGGAATACAACTTCTCAAAGTACATACGTGCATATATTCATTAGCTGCTTCATTTTCAGTCTAATTTGCACTAGAAATCTCATCCAGTTCAGAGTGCCTAACTCCCTAGCATGCTATCCAGGGACTAGAATTTATCCAGTTTCCTTATTAATAGAAACATAAACAGATTATATTTCTCCTGAAAGCCAGTTAGACACATATGCAAGTTCTCTTCCCAACAATGCTCACACACTTCTGTAGGAGAAATATTTCAAATCCCCACATCCTCCACTCTACCTGTTTCAATTTACACAAGCAGCAAAAGCTAATTTAAAAGGCCAGCTCTTTAAGGATTTCCATATTCCTTGTTCCTGTGTAGCAGCACAAATCAATTTTTTATTTTTTTTCCCCAAAAAGCCATAACTGTATAATAGCATGTTTTTTTGATCTTTTGAGAGTGCGTGGGAAGAAAGTAAAATTGCAATCTGCTCTTCTCACCCTCTAAAAGTTTGTAGTAAATTGTTATTCAGTTCCTACTCCTGTGTCCGAAATAAACATTTTTAGCTTAGTTGCCTTGGACTTTTCGATAATTTATGTCTTATTGCATATATACACCTTCAGCATAAATGGGTGACAATGAAGAATTTGCATATACTGAAATACAGACTTCAAAGCAGAAAAGTCACACATAGTTAAAACTTAAAAGGTAAGCCCTACAAAAAAATAAGGAAAAAAAATCAAAAGTAAAGTAATCACTTCTCCACAGAAATTGTAATTACTCAATATCTTACTGTTGCAGAAAAAAATCCCTGGAAGATAAAGGTCATGATGGTCATCTTTGCCCATTACATAATCGTCACAACTTCCAGGGGTACTGAACTCCTGGTAACTCATGGGTGCGTTTGTGAGTATTTTTCCACATGGAATCCCAGACTATAGATTTATGATAACTTACTATGCTGCAGGCAAGTTTTTTCATATCACAATAAGATACAGTGAAATTTCTCCACATACTGTTAATGCACTATAGTATAGTACATCAGCAGAGGATTAAAATACCTTCAGTTCTTCAGAATTTCTACTAAATTTAGTATAATTTTTTAACAGGTAGCATCGTATTACCATGCATTATATAAACTCTTGCATTTAATTTAACACTGTAGCTTACTATAGCATTTTGCACTCTCATTATTATAAATATTGCAGCATATTTAAACAAATTACTCTAATGCACACTCAAAGTTCCTTTTAAGGTTTGTTCACCCCCACATACTACAACGGTACAGTACAAACCCATGAAGGTGATTAGCACACCATATTCATTAACTAGGTCTCCTGTGAGGGTTTTGATGTACCTAATGTTCTCTTACAAGAAAGAGTAATTATATTCAGTGAAGGTATAGCACAAGTAGGCTATAAAACATGGGAAAATCTGAGAACATCGAATTAAGGGCAATTATCTCTACAGTCATTTATGATTTCCGGAAATAAAAGATATGGGAACACACCAAAAATACAAATAACTTCAAGTGACAATCATTCTTCAGTCATATTTATGTATACACATCTGTTTTTACACATACAATTTATTCAGTAATTCAAAATATTGGCTTTTATTTGTATCTCGTTCTCCACTTTCAGTCTTTGCAACATGCAAATACATTCTCATGAAGTAAACACCTAAGTAGAACAACCATGATATGGACGATCATTTCATCTATTCATTAGCACATGATCCCTCTCCAGCTGCTGCACAAAATAGTATTAGAATTTTTTTTTACATTTGCTCTGTCTTAAATGCCAGAATGGTACTTAGAAGGAGAAAATGAGACCCTGCGCTCACCTGGGCCCTAAAAATCACCAGATATCTGGAAATACGTATTTATTCTTTTTATGTTCTAAGTCTGATATTGCCCTGAGCTATATACGTTTACCTAATCAATGCAAAATGAAGTTATTATATCTCCTATTAGAAGAATACATTTCTCAAATTCAAAGCAGACAAAAATGTTTATATTTATGTGTGTTCTTCCCAAGTGATTATTTTAGTATGATCCACAATTATTCTAAGCATAGCCACACTCTGTAAAAATATGTTAGAATACTTTCTCAAAGTTACATTTATTTTGGAGGCTTGTATCTCAAATACTGCAGAAAAATACCCATGATACCGTATTGAAAGCAAAGTAGAAATTTACAAAAGGAGAAAAAATGTTTAAAGAAATAGAGTTACAATAAACTACATGTGTATTTTTTTAATTGCATCTCAAGGAACAACAGAAGGTTGCAAGTGTTTGTTTTTCACTTTCCAACCTTCTGTATTTCTATTCCTCTTTCCTCTACTTACTCCCAAAGACCTGGGGTCATAATAAGTTTCTGTTCCTTGACTACTTGAACCTATTTTTCCTCTAAGTTGCATCACAATAGCTTCTCAAAATTCGTAAGTTTACCCAAAGCCTTTCTTCTGTCTAGACACACTCTCCACATGTGCTTTGAGTAGATCCATACATCTTCCATAAGTAAATGGAGATTCCAAGTACATATTTCCAAAACTTTGTAAAACCAAACATCTGAAAAGAGCTATCTCCCAGATTTTTCTCCTACGATATCTCTGTGTTTTGTCCAGTACTGGACAGCTCCCACTGCTTAACACCTTCTCATTTTTCTTTTTTTTTAACACTTTCTCATACCCTGGGACAATATTTTCATTCAATTCACCTAGTATCCTTGGATTCTTTATTTCATATTGCTCCCAAAACAAATCTTTTTAACAAAAATTTTCATCTTTATTTTATTTTGATAACCTACATAAATTATCACTAAAAACTGATTGAGGACCTGCATAGATAAGATGAGGATAAGGTCACATCATTTGGTTCCAAAACAAAGGATTACGCAAAGTACAAAATATAACCTACATAGTAAAAAAATCTTTATTGCATTGAACACTTTTTTTTGGCTTTTTCATAAACGTGTGATTCTGAGCCAAAACACAGGGTTTTTGCAATTTACTTCGGAGGAATGTAGCGGAAAAGGAGACAAAGTGATGCATCAAAGGCAGAAACATGCTCTAAATATTTTTTCTCAGCCTTCCAATAGTAAATGGCATTTAACTTTCTTCTAGCAGTTTAATTTGTAATAATATATAATTTAATAATTTACATACATGTTTCTAAAAGGATACCTCATGGACAGCTCCGAAATGTAAAAACTACAACTACACATATTGATTGGATCAGAAACTTTCCAAGTATTATATGCACAAAGAAATACTACTTCAGAAAATCCAGAATGTGCTACTCAAAACAAAAATTAAAAGAATTTAAAACAAATGACCTTCTAAATAATTCTGCAAAAATCATTATATATAAATTACTTTTTCACTTCATGAAGCAAAATCACAAGTTAATGTGATTTTTCTTCAACCATAAATTGAAGAAAAAAGCTATCAACAAGGCAGAAACATAATGGAAAACTGTTTTGACATGCAGCAAGCTACTCCAACCAACACATGCGATTAAAAACTGCTCTTGTATATTCACAACATGTTTGCAGAGAAACATTTAGTAACAGTCTTCTCAATTTATCATACAGAATCATGGCAAGACTCATACCTTTTTTTTTAATTTATATTTATAATAAATTTTTCCCAGTGCTTAACTGAGGTTACAGACTTCAATCCTATCATAAAGGATAGCAGCAACACCTTTCTTTAGGATAGGGATTCTCACTTGCTGACTCAGGATCAGATCCCACCGACAAAACAAGTTTTCTGCCCCTTGAGAATGCTGGGGTGCCAAAAGTAGGCCACTTAAAACTGTCAAAATGACTCTACATTCTATAGGCATCAGCTGCATACACTGGTGGCCTTTATCAGCTCAAATACAGTGTTACATTACCCTCTACTGTAAACAGTCGAGTAGGAATAAGGAAGAATCCTAATATTCATGTTCTGCCATTCCTCTTCTGGTGTACGTGGTTGATTACCACTTTCCCGCATGCTCCCAATTATTGTTAGAAATCTTTTTTAACTTTTTTACTAACAGTCTGGTTGCCTGAGCAGACTACTCAGAAAATACCATATCTAGGTCAATTTTATCTTATTGAGTCAGGAAATTTCCCTTCTTATCTAAATTATGGCTATTTAGGAAAAAAGTTCACGTACATACCAACTATTCTTGGAAAACTTCAGTATCTAAGTCAGTCAACCTAAATGCACATGAAAGAACAGTACTGAAAAAAATTCAGCTATCCCTGCCTTTGATGGTTTATATGTGCAAAACTTGATGCTTTATATGTGCAAATCAGACTTTTCAAATAATGATATCAAGTGATTCCATGCTTTGTGTTAGGTCTGCAGCTGTGTTATTTTCTCAGAACCACAATAAACCTTTTTTTGGCATTTTAGTTCACTATTTACTCATATTAACAGGAAGTTAATCAAAACAAGTGCTAGTTATGATTCATCATAAAAAGACATTTAAACAAATCTATGAATGGTGTATCAGCCAAACTATCTGTAGAAGAATTGAGGAAATCACTTACAAGGGCAGAAGAATACAGCAATACTGATTTTTTGTCCTGGATCAAGAAATCCAGTCTGCAGACTAAATTTAAAAATACCGTCTTCTGTATTTTTGCCTGCATCATCACAATTCAATTTCCATGTCAACTGCTGCCTTGAGATATTCTTCAGGTCAAGCTTCTGTAAATATTTGCAGAGAAAGGAGGACATGACAAAAGAGGGAAAGCAGCAAACACCATGATACTTTTCACATTGCTCTACCCTAAGCATTCTTTTTGCAATCAGATCAGAGTGAAAGCAGGAAAGCACTAGAAAGCAATGAAGAACCCAGTTTATTACATCCGTAAGGTGAGAAGATGTGTATGCCTATCAGCACAGACTAGGTGCTTTCCAGTCATTCACCACATTCACAAAGAGCAACACTTTCTTTCCAAAATGGAAAAATCTCATTTATGCAAGGCAAATAGATCAAAGCATCACAGTGGGAGCACTTAGCCAAACAGAAATGAGGAGTTTTTCATGATACAAGTGAAGCACAGCAAGCACTAAACACATGGCTCATGAACACTAGACTTACAGGCGGATATGTTGAAACAGCAAGAAGTTCAGAAGAGGTTTTCAAAACTCACTCCTTCAATTCAGTAAGATAACGGTGGAAGCAAAAAACAATTTAATTCCTTTATCTCAGAGTTACTCTTTCAACTCTTAACACATCCATAGCTAGAAAAAGGCCTGACTTTGTATTATCATTGTTTTCTGAAGATACTTGAAAAAGTTTCAAGTGTTTTTATCATTGCCAAAAATATTTTTTTTATAATTTCCAAAGCCTTTAGGAATTAGAAACAATAAGTTATCATAGAATGGTTTGGGTTGAAAGGTACCTTAAAGATCACCTAGTTCCAACTCCCCTGCCATGGGCAGGGCACACCTTCCACTTAGACCAGGTTGCTCAAAGCCCCATCCAACCTGGTCTTGAATACTTCCAGGTATGGGGCATCCACAACTTCTCTGGGAAACCTGTTCCAGTGCCTCATCACTCTCATTGTGAAGAATTTCTTCCGTGTATCTAATCTAATTTTACCCTCTTTCAGTTTAAAGCCATTACCCCTTCTCCTATAACTACATGCCCTTCTAAAAAGTCCCTCTCTAGTTTTCTTGTAGGCCCCCTTCAGGTATTTGAAGGCTGCTATAAGGTCTCCCCAGAGCCTTCTCTTCTCTGGGCTGAACAACCCCAATTCTCTCAGCCTGTCCTCATAGGAGAGGTGTTCCATCCCTCTGATCATCTTCATGGCCCTCCTCTGGACTCACTCTAACAGGTCCATGTCCTTCTTCCGTTGGGGGCCCCCAAAGCTGAATGCAGTACTCCAGG